CATGGGCTGGATCCTTCCTTGTTGGGAGTAGTTTTTTCAGCACCAAGTCTCCTGGTTTGAAACTTCTTCCCCACACTCGCTTGTTATAGTATCTAGATGTGCTCGTTTGGTATGTGAATATCCATTGCAACGTTTGATCCCTCTTTTCATCCAAGAGATCAAGGTTGACCAATAGGGATCTCTCGTTCTGCTCTTGATCAAAGAATTCAGCTTTGGCAAAGGGCAAGCTGACCTCTACTGGGGCCATTGCGTCGGTTCCATATGCAAGGCTGAAAGGGGTCTCACCGATTGCAGTTCAAACAGTTGTTCGATATGCCCATAGTATTATTGGGAGGTGATCCACCCATTGGGACTTAGATGCTTCCACACTCATCTTTAGTGGGAGTTTTATGGTTCTGATGGTTACCTCGGCCTGGCCGTTGAACTGTAGATGTGCGAGTGCCGAAAAGTAGTTTTTGATTCTCAGTTCTATGCAAAAACTAGTGAATTCTAGATTCTCGAATTGCTTTCCATTATCTGAAACCAACGCCCTGGGGACACCAAAGCAGCAGACCACCAATTTCCATACACAGTTCTTAACCTTTTGCATAGTGATTTTGGCTAATGGCTCGACCTCCGCTCACTTGGTAACATAATTTACTATGACCACGATGAATTTGCACTGTCCGATCCTGACTAGTAGGGGCCCCAAAATATCCAAACCCCACTGTTGAAAATGCTAGGGGCTGACCACGGGGGGTGAGTTGTTTGGGTGGGTAGTGTGGTAAGTTGCCATGGATCTGGCAAGCTTTGCATTTCTTCACTATTTCCTTTGTATCCTTGGACATAGTCTGCCAAAAGTAGCCTTGTCGTAATGCCTTACTTGCCAAGATCCTTGCGCCGATTAGGTTTCCGCACATGCCCTCGTGGATCTCTCTTAGGGTATAATCTGTTTCTATTCCAGACACACTTCATTAATGGAAACAAAAAATCTCTTTTGTATAACTTACCTTGGATGATCATGAACCTTGCTGCTCTGGTTTTTAATTTCAATACTTCCTTCGGGCCGTCAGTGAGTTCTTTGTCGTGTAGCACGGACACAATAGGATTCATCCACGAAGCGCCCTCTTGGACTGGCATGGCCTAGGTCTCTCTGGGTAGTTCCTCATCGAGATGTATGCTAGGCTCGACAAGGACTTTGACGGGCACTTGTCCTGGTCAGTAGCAGTAGCTAGCTTGGCCTCTGCGTCTGCCCAAGCATTGACATCTTAGGGTACCTGGTCCAGTTCAACCAAGACGAAATTTCTCAATAGACTACGCACCTTCATCATTTAGAGTGCCATCATCTTGTCTCTAGCGGCATATTTCTCTTCAACTTGCCTGACCACTAGTTGCGATTTGCTATGAATCACGATCCCTCTAGTCAAGTCAGGATAAAGCCAGCCCCACTTCCGTAGGTGTTTGATGCTCTATCTACGTACAATTTCCAGGTTGGCACATCGGGGATGCAGTCTTGATTTTTCATGTTCTCTTCAGGTGGAGAGGTAAATTCAACAAGGAAATCTGCCAGGACCTGTCCCTTGATCGCGGTTCTAGGCTTGAACTTGATGTCGAAGTCACTAAGCACTATTGCCCACTTGATCAATCTTCCAGAGGCCTCCAGCTTTTATAGGACCTGCCTCATCAGTTGGTCCGTTGGAACCTCGATAATAGGCACCTAGAAGTATGGCCTTAACCTCCGAGCCGCTACTAAGAAGGCCAGCATAAACTAGTTGTTGGACTTTTTCTCCGTCAGCCACTAAGGCGGCGCTGACTGAGAAGCCTAACACAGCTAGGTATAGAGTCAGAACCTCTTCTTTGAGGGTGGAGGAGCCACTAGCACTGGTGGTGGAGCCAAATAGGTTTTGAGGGCCTGGAAAGCCTCTTCACATTTTTCATCCCAATGAAAGGCTGCCTTCAGGACCTTGAAGAACAGCTGACATTTGTCACTGAAACGCGAAACAATTTGATTGAGCACTGCTATTCTTCCGGTTAGGCGTTGTATCTAGCGAGTGCTGGTAGGGGATTTCATTTCTAAGACGGCCTTCACCTTCTCGGGGTTTGCCTCGATACCCTTGTTGTTGACTATGAACCCCAAGAACTTCCCTACTGAAACTCCAAAAGTGTATTTCACTGAGTTCAGTTTCATCATATACTTCCACATTATCTCGAATGCCTCATCTAGGTGTTGAATATGGGGTTCGAATTTAAGGGACTTTACGGGCATGTCATCTATATACACTTTCATAGTTAATAGGTGGCCCCAACGTTCTTCAACCCAAAAGGCATGACTTGATAGTAGAAAATCCCTTGCTCTGTGATGAATAAAGTCTTCTCTTGATCGTTCAGATCTATTCTGAGTTTGTTATACCCCGAGAAAGCACACATGAAGCTGAGGAGCTCTTGGCCAACTATGGCATCGACTATCAGGTCGATCCAGGGCAGAGGAAAACTGTTATTGGGGTATGCTTGGCTCGAATCAGTGAAGTTGATGTAGAGTTGCCACTTCCCATTTACTTTCTTCATGAGCACGACATTGGTCAACCAAGTTGGATAATCTACCTCCCTGATGGTTTTGGCTCATAGCAGCTTGGCCACCTCCTCATTAATAGTTTTATGCTTGTCTGGTGCGAAGCTTCTCCTTTTCTGTCTCACTGGTTTACAGTTCGGATCCACACTAAGCTAGTGTATGATCTCTACGGGATCTATTCCTTCCATATTCTCTTGTTTTCAAGCGAAAACGTCAATGTTCTCCTTTAAGAACGAGATAAGTCTTTCCTTGATATCTTGGAGTAGCATTGAGCCTATGAAGATCACGTGCCCAGGATCCACCCGTACAAACTCCAGCTGCTCTATAGGAGTGGGTCGCGCCTCCAATTTGTCTCTCATGTCCAAATCCTGCAGCTGGACTGACTCTACCTCCCTTTGCTTCATTAATGCCACATAGCATTCCCTTGTAAGGAGTTGGTCTCCCCTGACCATGCCGACCCTGTTTTCAGTGGGAAACTTCATTACCAGGTGGTATGCAGAGGGTATGGGTTTGATGAAGTTAAGGGATGGCCTTCCGAGGAGAATGTTATAGGCGGAGGGTGTATCCATTACTAGGAAACGAGCTGTGGTGGTGACCTAACAAGGTTGATCTCCTACGGAAAACACGAGCTGGATGGACCTGACAGGCAAGACTTTCTCACCCGAGAAAACCAGGAGATGGGTTTTTATGGGCTCAAGCCTTGACTTGTCAATGCCAAGCTAGTCAAAAGCTGACAGAAAAATGATGTCGGCTGAGCTGCCGTTGTTAATGAGCACCCAATGCACAGTCTTATTCATGATGATTTCCTTAATGACCAAGGGTTCGTCATGTGGGTGCTGGCATCCTTTAAGTTTCGCATAGAAAAAAAGTGATCTCCACATCCCGACGAGGTGCCTTTCGGATAGCCTAGACTTTGAGAAAATCTTTTGATTGAGCTTTCTTGGTGTACACCTTTCATGTTGATGTTGCTGAGGGGGCACAGCGGTTGCTTGTGGTCTCTTCCTTGATCGTTATGTGCTCTTCCTTCTCCTACCACGTAGTGGCGTAAGTGCCTCTTCTGGATCAAGTGCTCAATCTCCTTCGTAAGCTGGATGTAGTCATTTGTTTCATGGGTCGTGTCCTTGTGGAACTCATAGTATTTGGAGGCATCTCGCCTTCTAGGATCAGACTTCATCCGAAGTGGTCATCTCATGAACCTCTCGTTTTGGACCTCGTGGAGGACTTGAGCGATGGAGGTAACAAGAGGTGGAAGTCGCAGTGGAGTGTGTCTAGATTGTAACTCTTAAGGCAGGGGCTCAAGGCGATCTCTAATGTTGCCTCTCCTTTTTGGGAGGTCTCTTTCGTTTCTAGGGGAACGATCCCTCCGTGGGGATCAATCTCGTCTTCTCTCCTTCCTGAGACTTCTCTCTCTTCTTCTTTTCTCCTTCTGTAGAGGTTGACCTTCCTTTTAGTTGAAGGGCCTCCTCGTCATTGATGTATTTCTTGACTTTTGCGAGTACCTCATCCATGGTTGCCTGAGGGTTCTTGGCAATCTAAAACAGGAGGTCCTTAGAATGGACTCCTAGTCTGGACATAAAGGTGGTAAATGCGAACTTGTTGTCCATGTTTTCCACCTTTAGGCATTCTTGGTTGAAGCGTTTTACATAGCTCTGGAGGGATTCGTTGGGCCCTTGTTTGACACTCAGAAAGTGATAGGACAGCTTCCTGTATGTCCTTGATCCGATGAAATGCAATACAAATTGTATAGATATCTCTCGGNCGATTGCTTTAACAAAAGCCCTCTTACTAAATCCAATCGGCCAATATTGGATAGACCCTTGCTACAGATCAGAAGAGCGCATACTGATTGAAAAGAAAGGAAGCGATAGAGTACGACAGATTCACCGAAGAGCTGCTACAGAAGAGAAAGAGCTACGCTAGTATACTCACTTTAGTGATTAGCCTCTCATATATAACGTATAATGACTCTCCCCTAAAAAAAGTATCAAAATCAAATGTGAAACCATTCTTCGGGTCTTACGTTTTGTTTTAGTCTTTTCTTTGATTTTAAATAAAGAAATTAGCGGTAGCTGGGCTGGATCTTATAAATTCATTAGGGGTGGTGGAGCGAGCTGGATTTTGTAGCTGGAATCAATCCCTCGCTTGGTCAGCGCTGGAAGAATTCCATCTATACGGACCATTTTAGTCTAGTACCCCCTAAGTAATCCCATAGGTACTAAAGCCCCATAAAAGCTAGGTTTATGAAATGAAATTTGAATGAGACTATTAAGATCAGAGGAGTACATCATACCATAAATATGATTACCAAAGAAAGGGAATACGGCAAACAGGAAATGCGGTAGACGAAGGAGCTGTTTAACAGAAATAACGGTAAACCAGAGTAGCAACAGCATGGGCGGTGAGAGCGGATCGGATACCATGAATATGATTTTAGAGGAATACAAAAAAGAAA